CTAGTCACTACGACAGCGGCAGCTGGAACATGCTTGAATGTTAGACACTCAATATAAATTTTTCAGCGGTAGGGAAAATTGGGAATACTTGATCCGGTGGGGAAACTTATCCATCTAGTTTAGGCTCATGATAGTACGTTGAAAATCTAATGTAAGTGTAGTTGTAGATGCTTAACGTCAATATCAGACTTAAAGTGAACATTTTTAGGATACATGAGGAGAAGCAAGCATAGAATTCACAGCTCTGTGTTATAGTACGGTAGTGTGAAAACTGTACATAGTAAGTAGAAAGCGATCAAAGGACAATTTTGAGGAATTTAGCATTCCTTTTACCACGTTTTGAACGGTGTACACCATACTATAACGGAACTAACAACTCTACGTCTGATATTTGACATTGATCATCTCCAACTATGTAAAACGTCAACTTCACGCATGGAGTATTACAAACATGATTAGTTAAAGTACTTGGAGTGTTATTTTTTTTTTTTTTTGTGGAAATCGATGCACAATCATGCAAAAAATCGAAGCTCAACGGTATAACTTTTCAAAGATCAATATGGTGAAATTCCAGAAGTACATGAAAAAGTATTATGCCACGATTTTCTACCGACACTTTGAATACGTTAAGTATCTAGCTGACCAGCTCGAGGTTCAAGAGTGCAACACACATTTCCTTCAAAATAACCACCCACCGACGTGGTGTGGAAACATTTTCCGTAGCACGTATTGTTCTAGATGTAGAGTCTCCAATGTGGAGAATCTAAATCCAGAACAATAGAGTAGTTTCACGCCTAATGACAAATCGGAAAAACTTGACCATCTCCGAATTACATGGAACTTTTTCGAAATTGTTTATAATGGGCAATGATTCACATTTTTGCTAAAATTCGGTAATTTTATGTCTTGAATTTTTTTCAAAATAGTGTCTTAAATTTTTTCAAACAAATTTTGCATGGAAACGTAGAGAAAAATAATGTTTTTTTTTTCCTAAAAAAAAAATAAGCAGTACCCTCTAATGTGTGAGGTCGGTGGTACCGTTCACACACCGCTATTTCTCGACTGTCCTTCAACTAATTGAGCTGATTTTCTGTAGATAACTAGTTTATAGTTGAAACTCAGCGCCATCGGTTGAAGGACAACCGAGAAACGCACTGGGTGGACGATACCGTTCAGCGCATATATAGAGGGGTTACTGTACAAACAAATGAAAAATTAAAAATTAAAAAACTAAGAACCAAAATATTTCAAAATGTTTTTGTCTGATTTATGATAAAAAAAAAAGAAAACAGCTCATTAAAAGTGAAAACTTTAAGAATGTTAAAATTTATGGTTACAAAATCGGAGAACAAGAACTTTAGGTAAATTTTTTGAACTTTTAGTTAATGTGTTTTTTCGTGTAATTTACACTCAGAAAACATTTGTTAAGACATTTTAAACCACTTTCTTAAAAAAATACACAGAAAAGTGTTATAACAAAATGTTCAAATATGTGACCAAAAGTTTTTGTTTACGACTTTTTGTCAATTTTCAAGTGTCCATGGTTTTGAACAATCCATAAATTTGTATTAAAAATAAGCTCATTTTTGAAAAAAAAAATTATAATTGACCAACAACATTTTGAAGTATTTGAGCTCTTTACATTTTTTTTTTAATGTTTTGGTCCCAGAAAAACATTATTTTTGTGTAAAACTTTGTCTCAGACGTAATTTCGATCAGAAATGCTTTTTGTGTGCTACAATTTTTTGAAAAATTTCATGGATGCTATAATGAAAATTTAACAGGATCCAAAGTGGTCGATTTTTTGCAAAAATGTTAATTATTACCCATAGTAAAAAATTACGCAAAGTTTCATATAAATCGGAGCCATTCTGCATGGAATACGAGCTACGGAAAATGTTTCCAACCATTACTCATAATTAGTTAGAATACCCTGGAAACGAAGGACTTCATATTACAGTTTACCTAAGGCCTGATTGACCTTTGCTGTATATGCTGCATCTCACAAGATCCATGACTGCATTTCGTTAGTCACACTGTCTGCGAAGGCTCTGCTCGTCACCTTCCACCTTCGCGATCATCCAGGCCATCTGCTTCCTCATCTAGTTCCAGTTGGGTCGTTTTCAAGAACCATTTTCACTGACATTCTTAACATTTTGTCGTCTGCTTGTGAAATGCCCAGCCCACCGTAGTCAACTAATGTTTGTGCACACTTAGAATAGACAGCAGAATTCTGTGAAAAAAATTACCGAAATTGATCTGCAAACGAAAACTTTACAGATATTTATGTAAAATCGATGTGATTTCCACTATTTTCTCATATACTCACCAAAAGATCGGTGAAAACAAACAGTTATTCAAAAAATATTTGAAATATTACGAATCGTTCGGTGACGAATCAATTTTTTACCGAATGCTGTTTTTTCACCTAACTTCTGTAAATACAGTTGTCAGCCATAATTACAGTCGAAAGCGTCCCATATTAAACAGTTTCAGTTTCTGTTGTTTTTGCACACAATGTGTAATGTCATCCGTCATCCAAAGTGAAGTTATATGGAAGAAATTTTGGAAACTCTGTAGAAAAACAATGAAAAATTCGTCGATATGTCCCGAACGTATGATATATATGTATTACTAACACTATGTTTTGTTCTAGTTGCCGATAATTTGTATTTCTGCCACACCAATGTTCCCGGTTATGTGAAGGGTTTTCAATATTAACAATCATTAGAAGAAAACCACTTACTATGCTTTCTTCCATTGTACTTTTCCGAAATGAAGGTTTTCAAGTGATTTTTTAACACTAATTATTCACAAGTAAAAGTATTTTTACTTTTGAACACTAGACAAAATGTATTGATTTTCAGTATTTATTTCATTAAAGTTGTTTGCCTTGAAAGAAATAAAGGCTGAGTAAAAGTAAGTTGGTACGCACAAAAAGACCTGTAATTCGTGATTCAATAATCTTAAAAAGTCCATTAATGGTTGCTTTACAGTAGTTTTATTAAAATTTCAAAGTTGCAGCATAAGATAGCTACATTTCTCCAGTTGAAACGAAATCTCGAACCTTCCTCTTGATGGAGCCCATCAGCGCCCGCACAGCGGAAACGGACACGTAATCAGCGCATTTCTTCCATATTGCCGCATTTGCTGGATGTCCTTGACCGCCGCTTCGTCGAAGTCGTTTTCTTCGAAATTGACCAGTATTTTTCGATTGGTCGAAATTCCGGGCAATTCGGAGGATTCATTATCTTGGGGACAAAATCGATCTTGTTGCCAGCATACCACTCCAGAACCACCTTAAAGTAGGTGTAGCTGACCAAATCGAGCCAAAAGATGACTTTGCCCCAATGCTTACGGATGAACGGCAACACACGCTTCTTCAGGCATTTTGCAATGAGAACTTGGGATGTCATCGTTGAAGATGAAGGCCACATCTCGGATCGAAAGACCGGGGTTGGCTTTAACGCACCTCAACACCTTGCTGCGCAGCTGACGATCCCTGGTTACAGTTTTTCGTAGGTCCGCTGATTCCTTTCCACACTCAGAGTTTTCTTGTAGGTTTTGAGCACTCGACAAACTGTTATTTTAGGCATCTTCAGCACTTTAGCCAGCTTGGAACCGGACCACTCCGGATTTTCCAGATGTATGTGCACAATATGTTTTCTTCTTTCGAGTTCCATTTGACGTTATTTCTGAACGCGATAGACTACTTTGATCAAACTTGCACCAGTTGTTGTCTATAGAAGTGTAAACAAAGCACTGTCAAAGATTTTCGATTCTCAACACTAGAGGGGTGCTAGTGGCACGCGGGGGGTGTACCAATTTACTTTTAGTCAGCCTTTAACTTCTAAGCTTACAGAGTTATTGTGAAAAAATGCCGAATCGTACGTTAAATTTATTTATTTTTCAACGAATCACAGTATATCTGTGCAAAGATACCGGATACTGTGAAAAATCACATAACCTTTCGATAATTTTGACAGATAATATTTTTCAATTTCACAGATTGTTCGGTGATTTGGAAAATCTCCGAACTGTTTACCGAAGTTCAGCTGTTGAGATTTCGGTAAAATTTCTCCGAAACCTGTGAAATTTTCTCTATTAATATTGGTTCTCTCAGAAAGTGGAGCAATCCACGGTTCATGCGCCTTTCCCCGCAGAAGTTGAAAAAATTTCCATAGCGAAAAAATCGCATATCAGACATATAATCAAAACCTTTACCTACAGCATGACAAAGGCTCAAAAGGGAGTCGAACAATTTATGTTGCTGATTTATCTTTCTACCTTGACCAACATGAAAAAATAAATAAACGATAATGTTTATAATTCACTTCAATAACAAGACCGAAATACAACCAGTATTCTAATTTAGATGAATGTTTACTCTGTCGTTAGACGGAAAATATGGTCCCATTTACGGTCCACCAAAGCCTCATCCGATGATACATTACCGCAGAAACGCCTGGTTGCACAACCAAATTTGACCTACCCCTTTTTTTTTTTTTTGTTGCCACGGTCATAAAGTACAAGCGGAGTTAAATTTCACCCTGGGTGAGTGCGTCTGTCTCTTCCGCATTTGGGTTGGTCGGGTGAAAATGTCTGCTAGCTTAAAACCGCAAAGCTTTCATCAAAGCGGATTGTGCTGAAAATAACGGAAAAGGGTCCCCTCGTATAACTTATCCAAAACGAGCTCCAATCTTTAAATGTCACCCTTTTAACAGTTTGTGTGAGCGAGATTCAAGATTCGCTTCAATGGCAATAAACGCCGAGGATAGGAAAGGACCGCACCAGAAATAATTGAAACGTTCGTATATGCTTGTACATATACCGGCTTTTAGACTTACCAGGTGGAGAAAAGAAGGACACGCAAATTTCCATTTCACAAGTAGAGCTCCATTCGTTCAATAAAGGTTCACCTCTTGACCGAAGAGGGCGAGCTTTGGGAATGAAATTTATCACTAAAACTTTCTTTTTTTTTTCTTTGTGTCTTTTTGCAGGAATCCAAACGAGCAACTCGAAAACGACCACGTTCGTGATAGAACGCGATTCAAAAACATCGAATGGACGCCATACGAAAGCGTGCACAAAAAGTATCTAAATCTAGGTGAGTACGGAGTATTTTATTGTTTTTATGGGTCATTCCATCGGAAATAATCCAAGAGTTTGGAGAACTTTCATAGGATATTCATGTCCATTACTTTGGTTTAGTTTGATTAAAGATACAAAGATGATTCATTTTACGAAAAATTATTGAAATTTTCATCATCACTTCGCATTTGCTAGGGCAATTAACTGTGAGCTTCTTAATATAATTTTGTAGTTAAATTTTCCGATCATAATGGCTTCTGACTGATAAAATTGTTGCCCCAAAAATTCGAAGTAATGGAGCAGATGGAGCTTCACTTATGCTAAACCGTACAGCAGAACTCAGGTGATTTACGTAAATAGATTTCACTCAATAGCTTATGGGTTTGTTAGCAGCCAATCTAGCTCTAAGTAGCGCTTCGATACATCACCAAACATTATTTCTTATTCAGAATGTGGTGAAAGTATATTTGAGAAATTAATTGAACCTGATTATACGGGAAATGTATGATCTCAAACGTATCGTTCCGCCTTTCTGCCCTTGAGCAAGTGCTTTTACCGTTCCGGATTTTTCAACGATTACCGGTATCCCATTCGACTGCGAGGGCTGCGTTTGGGGATAGATTCTTTCCGCTTTTGTTAATCTTCGAGGATATTTCAAGTTGTCTTTTAGATTTATGACCACATCTAGTCCATCTGTGATATGTCGAAGAGCTCACTGAGGGTAATTACATTTCTTTTCATGAACTGCTGCAGCTGTTCTGTTCTGGTGGTCATATAGTTTTTTGAAAATTCATGGGACCCAAGAAACTACTAGTGCGTCATGCATAAGATAAACAGATTTGAGTAATGGAATAAAATTGTAGCTAATATAAAAACCTACTTAAGCTTAATTCATCATTTTATAAAATTCTGTTGATAAAAAAAGTTAGCGGCAAATAAATGTAAATGAATGAAAATAATTTTCCATGCCTGCTACGAACTTTCTTTCTGGTTTCTGGTTTTCTGGAACTTTGAATAGCTTCACTGGTGTTATAACCCGAGCATATTTACGTTGATTAAACTCTTCTCCATCCAAAATTTCTTAAATTTAATATAGTAAGGATGGGACTGATAGCCCTTCATCTGTACCAACAAAAACTTACGTTGTCTATCTATAAATTCGTCTCCAAATTCAAGTTTCCGAATCGTAACGACGTTTTAATGGATTTTTGACATTTAAATTGTTTTGCGAAGTAAACTAAATTAGCTGCACCGGTGGTGTAGTGACAGCTAGATGACCATTTTCGAATTGGTGCCATGTAGTGTGTAATTTCTGCAATACGCTATCCATATAGGAAGACCTTGTTTTCCTGAATATCTTTGCAGAAAGCAGTAACATCCTTCATGGTATTCTAACATAGTAATATTACATTACATGGGCACATTTTAACAGACCCCTCCTCCCTTGTTTGAAAAGTTTTAATACAGTTTACTTTTTTTCCTTGATTTATTTTCCGTTGATCTTGTTTTCCGTACTGAGCCAGGGAGGCAGCTCCCACACACCTGAACCCTACATATCGACCCATCAGCTCTCATAGACCGGGGACCAACGGCTTTGCTTCCCTTCCGAAGCAAGGCGTGATCAGAGATTTTATGCCTTAGAAAATCCCGGCTGCACCGACTGAGATTTAACCCAGGCCTTTTGAGGTGAGAGGCAATCACGCTTACCACTACACCATCGGCGCTGCTAAAATTGTTAATAAAATGTCAAATGGACAGAAGGTCAAATGGTAAAAGGTTGAAGAATAAAAGGTCGAATTAACGAAGGTTGAAGTGATATACAGTCAACTCACAGAGTACTACGAAGTGAGGGTTCGATGCCTGGTCCAGCCGGTAGAACTTTTTGCAACTGGTCTACTGGGTGTTGTGTGTAGTCTGTTGCCTAGTTTTTATGGGTTCAGTCTGGTGTAAATTGTCTTTTCTCTGTTTAACTCTCCATAACTCGATATTGAAGGGACCATCGAGTTGAAGAATTATCATCTTATAAAACAAAACAAAAAAGTTTTATTGTTGGTCAATAATTTTACGAATAATTCCTAACTAATTAATCTGCTGTAATGTCTGGCCTCATTTACCAAAATTAATTCTAAAAATGATCCAAGAATCCATGTATGGATGTTCTGATTAGTTAATTCCGAATATTAAGCCAATATAAACAAAAACACGCAATAGGAGTATTATTGCTTGGAATTTAAAGTGCCGCATAAAAGGTTCTGCTTCATGATGGATTTTAACCATTTGCCTTGAAAATAATGCCAGGTGTGGATGCAGTTGAATATAACAACAAATGATTGAGCTATTTTTAAACTGATGAGATTTGATCTACCATTTCTAAACTGTTGTTGATCACTGCTCTTAGAGCATCTGCAATATTTTTGGATGTAACACTATCGCCCTGAGTCTCAATAAAACCGGTTTGATTTGCCTCAGTCATGATAGTTTTAGGTATAAATTAATGGTACGAACCATTTCCTCGTCCTGGATACTCAATATGACCACCAGTTATCATGTTTACAAAGCATTTAATTTTAAAATTACAGAGAGCATTTCCAGACCAAAAAGAAAAAAATTAAATTTATTTTCAAACTCGACCATCTCCGATTTGCATGAAACTTTGCAAAATTGATTTTTTTATGGTAAATAGTTCACATTTTTTTCTAAAATTCAGTCATTTTGACGCTCGCAAAAACTTTAAAAATGCGTTTATTATATTTTTCCTACAAACCATTACTCGAAAACGTAACTTCCATTTTAAATAACGTTTGAGGCAAAGTTATAAGAAAAAATAATTCTTCTCCAGGAAAAATATACACGGATATAGTTTTGAAGTAATTTTGATATTAAAATTTTAAAAAAAGTGTTAAAACTTAAAACGATTTTTCATCAAAAAGCAAATAAAGAATACTATATTTTGTGAAAATTTTAAGTTGGACACTAATTTTTTTTTCAAAAATCATAGAGCAAAAGCTTTTTTTTTAATATATATATATATATATTTTTAACATACCATAACACAATTTCTTTCATGCAAATCGGTGATGGTCGCAACAGATCGATTTGTCATTTGGTGAGCAACTGCCATATCGACTAATAGATTCAAAATAACTTTAAAAATAACACTCCATACACAGTTTAAAACAATAGTGTAAATTTCTGCTAACTTATGATGCACATAAATGGGGCTTCATCAATCATACAAATTTGCTTTATGAATCAAGTAAAGTTATGAGATATTTTATATATTATTCCAAATATTGCATAACTGCGTTTATTTTGGTATACAATATTTCGAAAGATCCTAATTTGCGTGAAAAGAAATTAAAGTTTACGTACATGCACGGAAAAAGTTGATTTACTCAAATGTGTTAAATTTTCCGGTAATAATTCATAGAAAACGAGAGAATATTAGAACATTTACTCACTCTGAGTATACTAATAGGCCGAGCGAAACCTTTATCCATTAACCTCATATTCGAGAAGTTTTTCCTGAAAACTCTCCAATTTTACCGAAATTGAATCGGTGTGGAGGACCGTGTGGATGTTTAAGTATATCATCAGGATTTTTTCGATGTAGAATATCGACCAAAGGAGGCATCGATTTTTGTTAATATCAACTTACAGAGAGTACGAAAAACGAAGCGATTTCTGTATCGATCGAGTTATAGAAAATAAAGACTTATAGAATATCGAGTTGTGGAGATTTGACAACTACTAAGCTTTGATTAATTATGTCACTTAAATTTGCCCAAAAATTTATTTCCTCCCACTTCTTTCACATATTGTCACAATTTCTTGAATTACACCACGTTAGCATAACCCCCTACCCTCCCTCACTCCAATTTATTTCAAAGTTTGGATGGCAATGATTTTAATAAAAATATTTATCCATAATTCGATCTTTTATTTACTTCATAATAATTTTCAGAAAAAGTGGTTGAAATTCATAAAAGTATAAATTGGCATGAGGAACGTCATTCCTCTTCCTTTCTGAACCAGATTTATAGAAAACTGGTGGTGTCCACTCTTCAAGGACACCACCGGGAAAAGTCCGTATATTTCGATAGAAAAAAAAACCGGAAACAACTAACTATCTGGACCTGGAAAAAATGTCGAGACTCTTTAACTGGATTTTCAGGTTAAAACACTTTGAATAACTTTTAAGAGAAGATTTCAAAATGAATTCAAGAGGTTTTAACTAGAATTCAAAGGCAATTGTATGCGTTAAAAGTAGAATTGTTAAAACATTCTGTGGGAAAAACCACGACGATTATCGAGAGGATTTCAGGATCCACAAAACTTATCATGTTTAAGAGTTTTCTGAAGAGTTTAATCAGAATTTATCGCATATTCGAGCAAGTTTCAGCCGATCTTCTACCATAAATTATAATAAAATTAGACTCGTGAATCTGACTATTCTAAGAAGAATTCCAAGTGAATGTTCTGAAGAATTTAGAGAAGAACATGTATTTGGGTGGTGAGATATGTGACTAAAATGGTGAAAACATCCACTGCCTACAGGTGGGAATCGAACGCTAGACGGGCACTCTACCACTATGCTACCGTAGACTTGATGCTACCCTCATCAATCATACGAAACAGTGATGTGATAGAGGTGGTCCAACTCCCCTAGTAAGCGGGATGTGTTTCACCATTCTCGCATCACACTCAACCACCACATGTTCTATTTGGTGTTCTTGTATCAATTCATAAAGTAAAAAAAAAATAGTTTGACTCAACATTAGTAAGTTACCCTTGCAATTAGAAAAGAACTTCATTAAAAGTCTGTCAAAAATTTCCATACAATTTAGGAAGTGAATTGTATTATAATTATCAGGAGAATTCAAGCGAATTTCATTTATAATTATTGAATAAAGCTTCAGTGATCTCCTGGAATCATCATAATATTATATCGAAAAGAATCTTGGGATGTATTCCTCTCCCCATGGACATGGAGGTTGACGGTACTGAAGCAAAGGG